TAAAATAGGTGATCATTGGTTACCAAAAATGTATACCTGGTTATAAAATATCTTTTATATATATATATATATAAAAGTATATATTTCCAGAAACAACATTTTGTTATATCACAGATAATGTACTTTTGCAGTTAACTATGTATTCATTTTTCCACATGGCTGTCTAGGAATGGGATTGGAGTAACTCTCCTAGCCTAGTTAGAGTCTCATATCACCCCCTCCCAAAATGTCGTCTTCAGAAGGAAATACTGGTCTGATTAACAAAAATTCTTCAAATATTAATCTATATGACCAATAATTTTTTTTTTTTTAATTATTGCATTTTATACCACAGGTGCTTTGATGCAACTCATTACAGCTATCTTTGAGCTTTCTTTCTCTTTCAAAATAATACATGTGTCTATATAAATTTTTAAAAAAATAAATAAATAAATAGAGGAAAGAAATTACCATAATTCTTTGCCAGGAGAATCAATCTGCAGAGTGGTCCTAAAGTCTTATCACCCTTAGATAATATAATTTTCTATTTCAAATGGCTGACAAGCTCCTATAGTTTGGAAGAGAGGTAGTGGTGACAACACTTTTGGACCACTCTTAAGTTTTATTTGAAAATTATATAGCCCAACCAAAATATTTAATATTTTTGCTAAATTCACTATGAGCCTTCTTCAAGGAGGAAATCAACCAAAAATGTGTAAATCAGCCATAGATTCTGGCAAGTACTAAAATTTATATTTTTATAGTAAGGGAATATATATTGGATTAGTATAAAATTGAGCTATACTATTATTTTTAAATGAATTATTTTCCTTGAAGTTTTACTCCATCTTGTTGAAAGTTACTTCTATATAATGATTGTGAATCTCAGTGTGTCACTGTGTCACACATTTTCAACTTTACTTCTAGAGGCTGTAGCCCAACATATACCATTTTGGAATCAGGCAGATTCCATGAGACAATTAAAAAACATTCCAGGTCAGATATAGATCCCCAATTCTGAAATTTTGGATTCCCAAATTTTCATTACTGCAATTGTTTTCAGATTCCGCTATCTTCACTTCTACTGATAAAATCAATTAAAGGGACACAACTCTCTAACTTTCAAGAGCTAATGTTCAAATGCAAAAATTACTGTTCTCAAATTACAGTGTTTCAATATAAAATTGTCAAGGCCAGATCTGGACCTGCAATCCTGAAATTCTGGATTCCCAAGTTTTCATTACTGCAATTTTTTTTCAGCAGTGTTTTTTTGGGGGTTTTTTGAAACAAATTTTTTTGTGTGATAACAATTTTTATATCTTGGAAATAAATTTGGGATTAATCAAAATTAATTGTCAAGTCCAGTGAAAGCCACCCATGAAATAAAAATAATTGCTTGTAAGGAAAGTAACAACTTATGTATATCAAATTGTCTTTAAATTAAGTGGTCTCAAGAATTATCATTGAACTTTTAAAAGGTAAGCTTAAATATTAATGCAACACTTAAATGCAGTGATCAATTTTGAGTTCTTCTGTAGTTTATTGTTGCCTATCACATCTACTACTCCCTACATATTGCGATGAAGGCCTCCTTCTGCAGGAGCTAGCTTAAATGCTGCCTGATTGGGCGACTTTTAAGCTAGTTATTTATAATTTTGAGTTGGCTGTTCTCATGGTTGAACAGGAGAACAACCAAGACGGTTGGGATAAAAGCAACAATAATAAGATGGAACTAAATTCTCTTTGTGGACTTTTTAATGTTTTTATTCTGTTTGAGAAAAGCATTTCTTCTGAGAGAACCATTTAAGCAAAATGGTAGTTTATCAAAAACTTTGAGGCCAAAATGAAGACAATCCAGTACAAAGTATAAATTAGATTAAAAGAAAAGTGCCATGAATTTGCAACGAGAATGTTAATTAAAAAAATATATATATATATATATATATATATATATATTATACACAATACTGTAATAGCAATAAATAGGATAAGTCATATTAAACTAAGTAATTAAATGATTACTTTTCTTGTTTGCTTTTTCAATTACTGAAGCGGGGGAGGTAGCAGAGAGAGATGGGTATTACATTTTCCCAGTTTGCGTAATGACTGTTGCATACCCGGATCAAATTTATGAAGAAACTCTTCATAATTCTGAATGTGAAACATACAAAAAAAAAAAAAAAAAAAAATTGTAAAGACAGATCTTGACTGTCAATTTCAATAAAAAAACATGTTTGACTTAATTTTTGCTTTGCTGTGAGTGTGTATGTCTTTGAATTATTTTTTTTTTATCTACAAATTTCTTAACAGGACCTTTATAAAGGATGACAGATAGGAAGATTTAAAAAAAAAAAAAAAAATATATTCAAAAACCAAAATAAAAAACTTTTTTAAAATTTAGTCACCTAAGACAGGATTAATATTTTTGTACTGAAATATTTATTGTAATTGATCTATGACATTAATATTCGCCCACTGAATTGTGTTAACAAGGAAGAAGATTATGTCTAAAACTTAAACATTTATCACATGAAATAAAGTTCTTATTATTCCACAGACTTAGCTGACCTGAAAATGGCTCAATTCCCATGAATTATCAAAGATCAGTGATTTTAAGCAAAATTAAAAATTTACTCATCTAATATTTTTAGTTCAAAGCTTAGAATCTGTTCATATCCTATAGAAAAAATTATTTTTAAAATGGTAAGCATTTCACAAATGCAAACAAAATGTTTAAAAGATTTTTCTTAATGACTGTGAATTCAAAAACAGAATTTATAGGGGAAAAGTTCCAATTACACAAAACTTAAAAGTTTTCACAAATTTGCTGCACCAGAAATACTTTTATCATTATAGTTTACAAACATTAATTTAATTAAATCAACTGAAGCAGGATTTTCTCAAAGATGCTGCTTTATAATTAAGCAATAAGAAAATTATTTCTATTTAAACTAAGTTTCAGGGTTTGTTTTTTTTTTTTTAGTATTTCTGCATATTTGTAGAATTCTGTGAAAGTACAAGTTATAATTCTCTCCTCTAGCCAACTTTGATCTTCAAAAATTTAAATTATTATCATAGTCAATTATTATCTTTCTTCTTAATGTTTTATTGTTCTCTCTTAATACTGTTTTCTTTTTCTCGTATCCTCTCATACTAAGTAACTCCTTGCATTTTAATGTCTTTATTGCAACAGACGACCTTAGCTGTGAAGCTGTTTACAATTAGCTGATAGTCACATAAAAATGAATGATCAAATTATTTATCAATAACAATGTCATGAATTTACATTTGAAAAAAACTTAAAACTGTTTCAGTCATGATGCTTGAATTGTCAAACTAGCAACAAGGGAGGGGGGAGGGCTGAAGAGCTTTAACCCAACTAAGGCTTGTCCAGATTTTGGGAAATGGGTCAGGCTCGGAACTTTTCAGCACCCCCTCGTCTATCAATAACCCTATCAAAAAAAAAAAAAAGTGAGAGGGGGGGCAAATAAATAAAAACAATATATAATATGAATTATAAATAATATTAATCTTTAATTTATTATTGGATATAAACAATTTTCAATTCAGATATTTTGAAACTGGGCATCTGTTGTTTTTTTTTTTAGGGGGGGGGGATATTTTTTTTTTTATAAATAAAAAAAATTACCCCTATTACTTTATCTATCCAACCTAAAAGATTCAAAATAGGAATATAAAACCTGAACTAGTCTCTCAATTTATAAACTGATCAACCTATGAGCAGGTAGTTCATGGAATTAACCTGAAATTCATGAAATATTAAAACTAAAAGATAAATAAATAATTTACAAAAAAAACAAAAAAACAAAAAAAAAAAAAAACAAGAAGAATCTGCTCCCCTCACCCCGCAAAAAAACCACGGGGAGGTTTTTGCAGAGATATATTTCAAGCCTTTCCTACAGTTATTATTTCATGTTTCTTCAGCTTACTTTTTTAAAATAATTGGAAAATACTTACTCCAGACTTGGTATTTTGCTCCTTGTTGCTATCCATTGCAAGAGAATTGCCATTAACGGACTTGTTATCCATAACGGGAGGTGGCTGTACAAGTGGACGTATCGGAACCCCTCCACTAAGAAGAGCATTGTTCGGAATACTGTTGGTATTATTTCCACCCTGGTGTTGGACAGAAGAAGGCACAGTGGTCGGAGATGGGGACCTTTCGCCATTGGCAACTCGAGACGATGAAGAACTTGTTAGGCTAGCTACGTTCACCGACACACTCACGCCTTTTTCTCCGTTCAACAAGGTACTCGATTTATCGGCAACTTTAGGCTTATCGATATCGTCCTTCCGAAAACTGGATTTGAGAAGCCGGGTCCGTTCGGCCACGGATGGGGGTTTTTCGGGAGGGGGAGGCGCAGGTCCTCGATTCATTATTTGCGCATGTATCTGTCTCTCTACAGAACGAAAAGGTAAGTTATCTCAACAGTCGGATAGAAAAGCTAATAAAAAGTAGTCTCCAAATAAATAAATTTTTAAAAAAAGCAAGAAGAGGGGGTAATATCAGAAAGAGTTCTTCTTTGCTTCCTTAAAACTGAAATTAAAGAAAAACTCAACCTTTATTTTTTTTTTCTTTGACTCTTTAGTCTTCTTTTTTTTTGTAAATTTTCTTTCTCTTTCGACAAAGTATTGTTTTCAGTCCATCTACAAGCGTAGTTGAGTTTTATACAAGACCAAGTGGAAAAGAGTTGAATCAAGAATGAAACCTAATATTACACGCACGTCCAGATGTACACTCCTTTACGCACGGTCGCTGCCGCCGCGTTTGCCAGAGTCGTAGCAGTAGTAGGTAGAGTAGATGTTATTGAGGTGGTGGGAGTTATAGTAATAGTCACAATGGGACCGCGTTTACAGTAGTAGTAGTAGTATTGTTGTTGTTGTCTACTAGTTGAGTGCGGGTATTCTGTTAGGAGTGGGGATTAGCAATAATGAGAGAACTAATTTCTGATAGCAGAGGTGGAGTAAAAACCAAGATTAAAGAAAACGTGAGGATAGAGTCATATTATTAGTAATGGTGGCGTATTGTTGTAAAGAAAAATAGCAGGGAAGCAAATGATGAGTAATGGCTGGAGTATGAAAGAGAAAATGAATGAAATGATGCAAAGGAGGGTTAAGGAAGAAATCCTAATAAAATAAAAATGAAACCCTTTAAAAAAAGAATCTAGAAAAGAGAATGAATAAAAATTAAGGAAAAAAATGTTGAGGGAATGAGCAAAATAATGGATAAGTATTTGATGAACTTTTAAGAAAGAGATAGATAGAGAAAGAAAAATGAAAAATAGGGCTTTTTGCTAATATTTTTTTTTATTTCGGGCTCATTTTTCAATGAGAAAAACAAACAAAAGAAAATGTAAAAAAGCAAAGTAAGAAAAAAGAAAAATCTAAGTAAGAAAAAGAAAAACAAAAGCAAAAGAAAAAAAGAATAGGAAAAAAAAAAAAAAAAAGAAAAAGAAAAAAGAAAAGGAGAAAAGAAAAGGAGAAAAGGAGAAAAGAAAAGGAGAAAAGGAGAAAAGAAAAGGAGAAAAGGAGAAAAGAAAAGGAGAAAAGAAAAGGAGAAAAGAAAAGAGAAAAGAAAAAAGAGAAAAGAAAAAGGAAAAAAGAAGAGAAGAGAAAAGAAAAGAGAAAAGAAAAGAAAAGAAAAGAGAAAAAAAAAGAAAAGAAAAGAGAAAAGAAAAGAGAAAAGAAAAGAGAAAAGAAAGAGAAAAGAAAAGAGAAAAGAAAAGAGAAAAGAAAAGAGAAAAGAAAAGAGAAAAGAAAAGAGAAAAGAAAAGAGAAAAGAAAAGAAAAGAAAAGAGAAAAGAAGAGAGAAAAGAAAAAGAAAAAAGAAAAGTAGAAATTCAAAGGAAGAAAAGGGGGAGGGAGAACTCAACAAAAAGCGGACTGGAAAAAAGAACTGAAATAAAACACAAGAACTGGAGACCAGAATTTTATTTTATTTTATTTTTTTTTTAAACGTGAAACACGAAGCAAATTCTCATGAAATGGATTGGCGGGAGCCGGAAAGAGAATGGATGGTGGAATGAAGAGGGAAAAAAACTTAAGTGTAGACAATAAATCGGGGTTGAAATAAGACGATAAACAAAGAATAGAGGAGGTGGAGGGAAAAAAAGAAAGGCTGACAGCACACACGTACACAGTATATAAAATAATATACACGTCAAACGAATGAATGGAAGCAGAGAGAAAGCGCCCATTGAAAATGAAAATCATTGTTTTTGGGGGGAAGCCTCATCCTAGAAATACTCTCGCCGTTATAAGGGCAATAGGTAACATTAACAAACATAAGAATATTTACGACTTTCATTTTTCCTTTTTATCTATTTCTAATCATTTTTTAATGAAAAATAAAAGGTAAAAAACAATTAGCACCTTTTGTTCACAGTTGACTAAGCCTTAAATTAGAATCGTTCATCATCTCTCTCAAATAATAATAATAAAAACAAGTTTGAAACTTCAAAGTCAACGTAACCACATCCATAATATTTCTTGAACATTATCACTTTTCACACTCACCATAGCACTCTAGTAATTTAATTACAATGAGTGATAATCCGAGTGCATTATCAACAAGGCAAGTAATTGTGATTTTTTTAAGCAGTCATATTTAAAAGTTTAATAACAAAAATAATTTTTCGAAATCACCAACGCATTAATATTTTATTTCTCAATTTGTAATTAAGGACTTGACATCTCTTTCAGGATTTTATTACAAAAAAAAAAATAAAATAAAATAAAATAAAATAAAATAAATTGGTTACAAATTAAAAAAAATAATTTATAGTACTTTGTCCAAGCCTCAATTTATTTATTACACACACACACTTTTTCTTTTGGGTGGAAAGGTACGGCTCTCCACAACTCTCTTTTGTTTAATATCTTAGTTGGAAAAGATAATATAGAGTGAATTTCCATTGTCTTCTCTAGATTTGAATTCAGAGTTATTCTTGAATGGCTACCACCAATAATCCTAAAGAACTCTACCCTGCTGTTTTTCCTATAGCTTTAGTAGGGAGGATTCAATGGTTGTAATAACAGAATTATTATTGTCTCTTGAATTTTTCAAGTGTTTTATGTCCTCAAGTTTTCTGTGTTTTCAAGTGTTTTATTTACTTGGAAAATTCAAATATTGGATCAGAAAAAAAAAAAAAAAGTTTTTTTTAAAAAAAAATGCAAAGCAAAACAAACCATGTCAAGATCCAACATCTGTTAATACTGGGAGGATGCTGAAAAGCTTTCAGCCAGTCCCACTTTCCAAAATCTGACCAGTCATCATCATCATATGTTCTTTCAGAACAGTTCCTTGGCCGAACAGGAAAATTTTCAGCAACCCTTCATTCTGTTCCTGCATCAATATTATAGACAGTAATAAATGTTAATTACTTTGGTTCTTTTAGTTAACTGCATTAGGCTAAAATCCATGAACACATGTGTTTTTTAATGGCATCTCTTTTCAGGATGTAAGCAATCATGACTACACAGATTCCTTTCTTGTATAATCTGTGAATTGACATGTATTCTTGGGAAAGACAGTAGAATAGTTTCCTGTTGCCTTCTACACAATTCCTTTTTTTTTTTATTATCTGTGAATTGCCATACCTTCTTGAGAAAGATATGGAAGCAGTTTCCCAGTGCCTTCTCCACAGATTCCTTTCCTTTATTATCTGTAAATTGCCACGTATTCTTGGGAAAGACAGAGGAGTAGTTTCCTGTTGCCTTCTCCCCAGTTTGCAAATCAATTTTCCTTCTCTGAGACTTGTTCTCAAACAAGACTAGAGAGCCTGGTCTACCCTGTTATTTAAACAAAAACTGAAGACAAACAAATTTTAATGACATGAGCCTTCAAGATGAAGACAAAGATGGCTCTCCATGTATTCCTTTTCTTTATTATCTGCAAATTGCCATGCATTCTTGGGAAAGATAGTTGAGTAGTTTCCTCTATTGCCTTCTCCAGTTTTCTGTGAATTGCTGTAATATCTTGAGAAAGTTTGTGATTTCCCAGTGCCTTCTCCAGTTCTGAATTTAGAATTGTCATTTTCCTAGACTGGCCACCAACCAAGGCTACAGAGCCCTCCCTATTCTGCTATTTATAACTGAAAGGAGAAGAGAAGAATTCATACATTTCCCAAAGGTATCAGTTCAAAAGGGAAATGATTAGCCATGAATTTGAACTGTTTGCTGATACCACTTTCTCCACAGAAAACCATTAAGCTATCTGTAGAGACCACAGGATTATTCCAATAAAAAAAGAAAATTCTTACTATCATAATGTGAGTGCATACACATGTATATGTGCGATGCCCTATTTGAGAAACTTTAGAAAGTTAAGTGGTATGAATTTCTTATGAAAAGCATTATTCATTTTCTACTAGTTTAGTTTTCAATCAAGACACTTCCAATTCTACACCCATTAATGAATCATGGATCAGATATAAAGAATTAGATTCCAATAACATACTGTATATTGAAATGACTCCTCTATTGCCAGTGTTTTAGAAGTAATAAGCTTTGTTAGCTGAGATCTCACTACTTCCTGAAAAGTACATATGTAAAGAAAGGCTTCTAAAACTAACTGCATATTTTTCCTTTTTGACTAATAATTGTTCCATTGTAAAATAAAACATACATGATATAGATTGACATGGACAAGGTCTCTACCAATTTGGTCATGTAGACCAACCAGCTGAACAAATTTCAATCCAGCCACATATAGCTATATCACTTCCCAACAATTTGTATTTACTATATTGTTTGGTTACTATTTTGTAGTTACAGCAGAAAGTATAAATGATTTAATTTAGCAAAGACTATTACATACAATTATTAAATACTAAAAAACAAAACAAATCTCAGGATGTCAGTAGCTTTATAACAATACAGGTTATCACCAGGTGTCACCAGAATGAAAGGTGGACAACTCACATCGAGTTATACTTATTATAAAACCCAGGTTGTTTGTTGTGTGTGTGTGTGTGTGTGTTCGTTTATATATCGCATCAGATTTCCTACATTTTTCAACCAATTTCAACAAAACTTTTTTTGGCAGGTAGTGTTTCTTATTGTCTTGCACACTTTTTTCTTTATTTTTACATTCAGAATGCTTTAAAAATTCCATTTACAAGACAATTGTTTATAATAAAATTCTATTCAGTCGGTAGACTCATAACGATTGAAAACAATGTTTTTGTTTGAGTTTGGGTTTGACCAATTCGTAAAAAAAAAAAACTAATTAAGACATGCATGTCCGTCAACCTTAAACAATAATCTTTGTCAATTTTATTTTTCAGTCTTTATGATGGTTGATACTTGATCTATCTCTTACTGTTACATCCCCGGGCAACGCCGGGCTCTACTGCTAGTTTTATATACAGATACAGGTAATGGTGCTAGTCATGTAATGCTCAAATTAATTTTGAAGTGGTGAAAAGAAGATTTCACATAAAAATATTTTGTTTATTGTACAAAAAAACAAACACTACTTACAAAAAATATATATAAATGCAACACCAAACACTACTTCTACATCAAGTGCAAGAAACTGAAGGGAGAGGGTACATCATTGATGACGGGTTCTGATTAAAATGTTACAATACATACAAGAACAGTATTTGTATAAAAACAAAACAGATTCTGATTATCATCAGATAGAATGAAAACTGAAAAAAAAATGTCCACATTTTATTCGTAAAGCTGCATTGCAATAATCATGCTTTTGGTAGCCATATTGCTTTCTGAAATTTTCCATTTGTGGCAAGTCATGTCAGCAACTGAAAAACTTTCAGATTTTGGAATTTCAAATAAAGAATACTCAACCTGTATCTAATTTTGCTGTCTAGTTGGTTTCCTTGATCAAACTGATAAATGCATCCATCCATGACAGACTGGCTTCCAAAGATATTTGAGTTCAAATTTTGAACATTTGATTTCTGATCCCTACTGTGTGTGTATAAAAATAAAGTACAATTAACCAAATGTGCAACTTTCTTTTCAACTAAAATTGTTCCATTACAAAATACAGAATTTAAATGTGCTGGACATATTGCCATAATGGGTGATGGGAAGCTCCCAAAACAGATGTTATATAGGGAGTTAATCAGAGGGAAAAGGTTACAGCAGTAGTTGTCAGCCTGTGGACCACATCCGGCCTAACACCTGGAGTTGCAGAAAAATATCAGAGTTAATCGACTTACAGTGCAATGAATTTTTTAAATTAAAATTTCTTTCCAAATCCACTACTGACATCTACAAGCAGAATTGAAGTCTATTGAATAATGCGAAAATGATGGTATCATTATTTGGAAGTAGATATGCTTGTGAAAAACTTTTTTCAAAAATGAAATATACTAAAAGTCATTTAAGAATAAGGTTAGATGATGACAACCAGGATGCTGTTTTGCACCTGTCATCAACAAATTTCTCACCTGAAGTGGAGAAGTTACTGAACAAACGTCTCATTAAATAGCTAACCATTTCTAAATGTATTTCATTTGTAGTAAAGAATTTGCATTTTTTTCTTGTTTGTACTAATTGCTATCCTGTTATTCCTGTAATAAAATAAAGAACCATGTTTAACATTAACTTTGTTTTGTTTTTCTCTTTAAACCACCAGACCAAGGCAGCCTTCTGGATGGAACTGTCTGAGGTCGAGACAATTTATTATAGTAGATTTAATATCATGACCCTCCTCCGAGACGCAGCATAGCTTTCTAGCCCGCTCTCTCCAAAAGGTCACTGACCCCATAAACTCAGGAAGTGGTTTAAGGATGTTGTAAAAAAAAAAAAAAAAAACTTTAAACCCTGGAGATTGTTGTGGACACTTGAGAAAATTTGACCAAGAGTCATGCAGTATGGTGGAAGCTTATCTGGGATAAATGCAGCAATTTTGAACAAAAGTAAGTGGAGCATGATGCACTGAAGCATTCACTCCAAAAGCAAGACAAGCCCAATGTCTGCAGATGTTTGGTTTATGGCATATCAACCTCAATGGGTTATTTAATGCCAACATTTTTTTTTTTTTTCCAAAAATATACAGTCAGTAATATTTTTTTTTTTTTTCAAAAAAATATACTGTCAGTAATATTTTTTTTTTTTAAAATTGGTAATTTTTTTTTTTTCAAAAAATATATTGTTGGTAATTTTTTTTTTTTTTTCAAAAATATATTGTTGGTAATATTTTTTTTTTCAAAATATATTGTTGGTAAATATTTTTTTTT